CTTGTAAAAAATATAATGGAGGAGGAAGGTGCATCCCAGAAACTAAACTGAATTATAAGTTTAAATATTAAGGTATTACTTACCCACATGTTCATATAATTTGGTATTTACCAACATCTTTCCATGATTAATAATGTGAATCTACATGTCATTTTAACTGTCCATGATTTTGTTTTGAAAATGCTCTGTAAAATAAATATTTAGTTTGGTGCTGGTATTTTGCTATTATAAACAGTGCTTTAATAAATGTCTTTCTATATATATTTTTGAAAAGTTTTCTCGTGATTTACATAGAAGCAGATTTGCTGGATCAGAGTCATGTTTTAAATTTTGATGTGAATTGCTATTTTTTTCTCTTCAGAGTAAGTGGGCTAATTTATATACTTCTACGAGCATATTGTGAGAGTCCTCACTTTTCTGCCTCTTTAAAACTCTGGATATTATAAATTTTGTAAATTGTTGCCAGTTTAATATGTGAAAAATTTCTTCTTTAAGTTTGAATACTTGATTCTTTATTGAAATTCTGCATCTTTTTAGACACTTATTATTAACCTTTCAAATTTATTTTGATTTTTCCAGTTCATATCTTTTGACTCTTTAATCAGTATTTTTATTGGAAGTATGTTTAATTTAGTGTTGTGTTAATTTCTGCTGTGCTGCAAAGTGATTCAGTTATACATATATATATATTATTTTTTAAATATTCTTTTCCATTATGAATTATAATGGGTAGTTAATATAGTTCTCTATGCTATACAGTAGGGCCTTGTTGTGTATCCATTCTGTATATTAAGGCTTACATCTGCTAACCCCAGCCTCCCACTCCATCTCTTTCTTAACCTCTTGCCCGTGGCAATAACAAATCTGTTCTCTATGTCCAGGCTTCTATTTCTGTTTTGTATATAGGTTCATTTGTGGCATAGTTCAGAGTCCACATGTAAGTGATATCACATGGTATTTGTCTTTCTCTTTCTGACATACTTCACTTAGTATGATAGTCTCTGTTTGCATCCATGTTGCTTGCAAATGGCGTTGTTTCATTCTTTTATATGGCTGAGTAGCATTGCCTTGTATATATGTACCACATCTTCTTTATCCATTCATCTGTCGATGGTCATTAGGTTGTTCCCATGCCTTGACGATTGTGACTAGTGCTGCTGTGAACATTGGGGAACATGTATCTTTCTGAATTATAGTTTTGTCTGGATGTATGTCCATGGGCAGGATTGCTAGAGCGTGCAGTAACTCTGCGTTTCGTTTTCTGAGGAACCGCCATACTGTTTCCCCAGTGGCTGCACCACCTTACATTCTGATCAACTGTGTATGAGGCTTCCCTTCTCTCCACATCCTTTCTACCATTTGTTATTTGTAAACATTTTAATAATGGTCATTGATCAGTGTGAGGTCGTACCTCACTGTAGTTTCGCTTTCTATTTCTGTAGTAATTAGCAGTGGTGAACATCTTTTCATGTGCCTATTGACCATCTATATTTCTTCTTCGTATATATTGGCTATTTTACTTTTTAACAAAATAATACATATGCAGAATGTAAAAGTTCCACTAGGACAGAAGCAAAGAATAGCATCAGTCTGTCCCATCTTTCTTACCCTCCTAGTCCTGCTACCCAAAGGTAACCATACTCAGCTCTTGTAATGGTTTCTTCTAATATTTAATTAATTTAACTTCATCTTTCTAAATGATAGGCTTCTGTATTCCTTTTTTGATTGTTAAGCTTCAGATATTAATTCCTGATTTTCTACTAAGCAAGGGGAAGATTTAGCTCTCGTTCCATTTTCCCCTCATCCCATCCTGTCTTCCTGTCTGTACAGATGTATTCAGTTCTCTTTGATCATCCTTTCAATGCAGATATATCACAATTTGGGGCTAAAATTATATTCACTATTCACATCATTATTACATAAATATTATTCACAGTTCAGTAAGTATACTACATAGTTTAGGTTTTCCTTCTGGTTCTGCATCTTGTTTTGCCTAGAGTTAATAATTACCTCTTTTGGGGCTTTGCACTTAATTTTCTATGTCTGCAAGTCACTAAAATTTCTGCATGAGTGATACAACTCTTAAGGTAAATATTATAGGTGATATACAATTTCCTTTAAAAAAAATATGTGTCCATCCTGTGTTCCAGTCTGTTAGTTGACATGTGGGATATTGTACAAATATCATCCTAGAACCTCCCCTCCCCATTATTGAAACTCCCGTCGCAGCTCCCCTGTTTCAGCTTCTCTTTTATACCGGTCATCATTTCATCCTTTTCCACAATTTTGTTATAAGACCTAACTCCAGTATAATACTGAGAAAGCGTACATGGAATCATTTTATTTTTGAAAACTTGTATGTCTAAAAGTATGGTTTTACTGCCCTCACATTTGATTTTGTAGTTTGCTTGTGTGAGTAACTCTAGGTTGGAAACNATTTTGTTATAAGACCTAACTCCAGTATAATACTGAGAAAGCGTACATGGAATCATTTTATTTTTGAAAACTTGTATGTCTAAAAGTATGGTTTTACTGCCCTCACATTTGATTTTGTAGTTTGCTTGTGTGAGTAACTCTAGGTTGGAAACAATTTTTACCTTGGAACTTTAAAGGCATTTTAAAAAATTAATTTATTTATTATAATTGGAGGCTGATTGTTTTACAGTATTGTGGTGGTTTTTGCCTTACATTGACAGGAATTAGCCACAGGTGTACATTTGTCCCCCTGGCCCGAACACCCCTCCCACCTCCCTCCCCATCCCATCCCTCGGGGTTATCCCAGTGCACCAGCTTTGAGTGCCCTGTTTGATGCATTGAACTTGGTCTGCAGCCATCCATGGTGTTAACAAGTCCAATGCTGTTCTGATTCTTGATCTCTTGTGTTTTTGTCTTTCTTTCTGGACATTTTCAGAATCCCTTCTCTATTCTTAAGGCACTGAAATTTCATGAGATACTTGCAAGTTCTTTTCTATTACTTATTCTCACCATTTTCATATTACAGCTATATCATAGTTTACATTCTCATAAATCTTGGGTCCATTTCTAGATTTTCTTTTTTGTGTCTTTAATAGCCACACCCATTGCTGGATCTGTACTACAGTTATGGGTGTGGCTATTGTAAAGATACTCATTTATAGTGCATTTTGATATCTCCAGTGGCAAATGTCCCCACTTCTTGTTCTCTATTATGTATTCTTTTTGTGGCTCTCAAGCATAATTTTTGAAATGAAATTTTGATCAGTTTTCAACTTTGAAAAAAATTCCTTGCAATTATGATAGTCTGTGAAATTCTAGTTTGAGAGAATTCACATTTTTATTTATTTGCATCTTCTTATCTGTAGAGATGAATGTCTCAGCAATATTCAAGTCTTCTTTCAGAGTTTTTTATAGAGGTTCTGTACATTTCTTCCATAAGTTGTAATTTTATTCCAGCTATTATTTCTGTACATGAATACCATAGGTTTTCATATTTGCTTACTTTTTAAATTCTGTTGAACAATTTTAGTTAATATTTCCTTTTTTTTTTGTCATTCAATAATTATTTCAACTCCTACTCTGTTCCGGAAAGTATTAGACATTCAGGCCATAGTGTTAAGCAAGGATACATGGTCCTTGCCCTTAGGTAGATAATTATATCATTTTCAAGTAATGATTACATTTTCCTTTCCAATATTATTTTTATGCTAATGTTAACCACTAGAGTCTGATTTTTAAAAACTCTATCATGTTAAGGAACTTTCATTCTGCATTCTGTTTACAAAAACTTTATAATCACAAACAATGTTGAATTTTATTAAACTTCGTTTAATTGTTAATGTAATAAATATGTTACACCATCCTTGAATACCTGGAATAAACCTCACTGGGTAATTTCAGAGTGTTCTGTTTTTATCCTGCTTGACAGAATCTAATAATGTTGTATATAGAATTTTTATATCTATAGGAAAAAAAAGATTGATCTATAGTTTTCTTTTACTGTGATCTCTTTTGAGGTTTGGTTAAAATTATGCTAACCTCCAGGTGAATTGAAAAGCTTCCCAGAGCTCTTCTTTGAAACGTATATTTATTTAAGAAATATTTTTAAAAGCAAAGTAGTTTCCTTGCCTTTGAAAGTTTGTAGCCAGATTTCTTCTTTAATAATGTTCCTTTGACACCTGTTCAACTTTATCTGTGGTTATTGATCCAGTCATTACTAGATTTTTAAGAACCAACTCGGGAATGTCATTTTCCCTTTGTGTTTTCACTGTTTGAAGCTTTGTTAAATTTCTCAGAGGGCTATTTATCAGAGTTATGTTTTCAGTAAGATAAATATGCATTTTCAGTGTCTATAATTCTTTGATCAGTGATATTTATTGTAGAGAAGACAAACCTAGGTTTAATTTTTCACCTTAAAAGTTAAGATGCAATATTTAAAAAGATGATAGAGGAAAAAGAATAGAATAGGGAACTGTAAAAGGAGTATTCAAGGGAATTGATAAAAAATAACTAATTTTGGGATCAAATATAGACCCATTGTGCCTACAGAAAGAATAGGATTTACCAGAGCCCTAAGTTTTGTAGGTCAGTTTTATGTAAGATCATAGACACTCATAGCATGCAGGAATTGGCTAGAAAATTACTTCAAGTTCATCATTATAAAGATTTAGAAACTAAACTACAAAGAGGTGAAATAATTTACTCAAAGTTACAGAGCATGANTGTAGGTCAGTTTTATGTAAGATCATAGACACTCATAGCATGCAGGAATTGGCTAGAAAATTACTTCAAGTTCATCATTATAAAGATTTAGAAACTAAACTACAAAGAGGTGAAGTAATTTACTCAAAGTTACAGAGCATGAGGATTACTTAATCCAATAGAGTTATTTGAACTGTTCAACACTTTTTTTTTAAAGGAAAATATATATGTAGGTTAATAGGAAGAAATGCAAGGAGGCACTTCTGTAAATGTTTCATAAATATTGTTTTGAAAGGATGCCAGACTTCATCTTCCTTTTCTAGGTGAAGAACTGAAGATATAAGGGGATTGAAGAAGAACAAGTCACAATCCAAATCAGGTATGAAACCTCTTTCTATTGGTTGCATTACCTGTCAGTAACTCAATAAGCAACATTACCTCTTTCAAAAATCAATGAATGGAAATACTATGAGGAAACAGAGAAATCTTCATTCTTGTGAGTATTCACAGAAAAGACGTTAACTGTTGCTATTCTTTTACTTATTAAAAGAATGATGATACTGAATGCTTGCAAGAGTCCAGGGAAATTGAGACCCATATATTGTTGTAAAGTAGCAATCTTTGGAAAGACAAATTAGCCAATTAAGGAGAAAATGCTATATGAATGAAGGTACTTGTTGCCGCACTGTCTAATAATTAAAAAAATTGAAGCAGCAGAATTTGTCAGAAGGGAAGGTCTAAGTAAATTGTGGTGCTCATGAGAATATTGTGTAGCTAATGAAAATCTCCTTGTCATCAGGAATATAAGCATGGGGCAATGCCTGCACCTCTGTGTCCTTACTTCTTTACATTTGTCTCAGTCAGCTCCACACACACTGAAATGAAGACGAACGGATTAACTGAGATGTTGTTGAAGTATGGTATTACATAGCTTACAAGTATACACCATAGTGGCTCATAATTTTTAAAGGTTTTACTCCACTTACATTTACTATGAAATTTTGACTGTATTCCTGTGTTGCATAACTAGCAAGACTCTTACCTGGGGACTCTTGGGAACAACCTGCTTCCAGGTCCTTTCAGGTCATTGAAATAATTCAGTTTTTCAAATTTTTAGAACGGGTTTTCATCTTCTTGCTGGCTGTAGACTAAGGGGTTCACTCTCATCTCTAGAGGCTTCTTCCAGGTCGTTCCATGTGGCCCCCTCAATCACAGCATTAGGGAACCTCCCTTGTTCTTCACTTTCTCTTGCTATCAGCTGGAGAAAACTCAGCTTTTATGGGGCTGAGGTGATGGCTAGGCCCCTATGCATAATCTTTTGGTCTTAGGGTCAATATCTGCAAACTCCCTTTTGCTACATGTTATAACATAATCATGGAGATCAAGCCAAGGGCAGATGGTGCCTTGGAGTCATCCTGTTGCCTGCCAGACCACAGATTGGACTCTCTCACTTCCTTTAGGTCTTTTTTAAGTTGTTAACTTTTCAGCAAAGTGTTTCTTCCAATCCATTTCAACTGGATTTCAAAAATTTCAACTGCTCCTTTTACCTCCACCTAAGCTTCCACCCCTTTTGCCTGTTTTTCTTTTTAAATTTCTTCTTTAGTACTTATCATCTGAAGTCCAATGTGTATCTTATTTATATTGTTTGTTATCTGTCTCCCCTAGCACACGTAATCTCAAAGAGATCAAGGACTTTGTTGTTCTCTGCTGTATGTAGTTTTCACTGCTGGAATGATGCCTATCACATAACACATACTCATAAATATGTGTTTAATGAGTGAACAAATGATACAAAATTATGTAGAGAGTATGATTACAATTACTTAAAAATATGAATGCATGTAAACACAAAATAGTATTGTTAAGATAGTAAGATTTTAATAGCTTGAAAATCTATTTCTTAAGCTCTGCACTGCTTTTCTATTGACATAACAAAGAAAAGATCTCACAGAAGGGGCTGTTGTCTGGGGAGTGTGAATTATCCAAGTATGACATAGCTCATGAGCAGATAGTTTTGAGGTAATGCTGAGGGAGGGAATCAGGAGCTCATCAGAGGCAGAAAGACATACCAGAGGCAATCTGGAAGAGGAGAAAGAGCATGAGAGATGGGATCCCAAAGACCTGAAGTTGAGTCTCTCTCAAGTGTTTACTGGGCTTCCTGGGTGGCTCAGTGGTAAAGAATCTGCCCTCCAATCCAGGAGACGCAACAGACTCAGGTTCCATCCCTGGGTCAGAAAGATCCCCTGGAGAAGGAAATGGCAACCCACTCCAGTATTCTTGTCTGGGAAATCCCATGGAAGGAGGAGCCTGGTGGGCTACAGTCCATGGGGTGGCAAAGAGTCAGACACGACTGAGCGACTAAACAGCAACAGAAGCAAGGATTAATATTTACTAGATGGGTGAGTTGAAAAGCCACATGACCCCTCTGACACAATTTTCTCACTACCAAAATGAGGACATGAACTACTTTCATCATTGGGTTGCCCTAAGGATTGTGTAAGATGCTCAGTTTTACTTTGTTTCACATCAGCCAGCTTATTCACCCTTTTGATTGCCAAGAAAAAGACTTCTCATGTTGTACCAACTTCTCTCCTTCATCTAACGTGTGCAATTACAGAAAAGGACTTTCTTGAAATGGTAGGATTATTTCCCCATGAAAGGAATATCACCAGTTTTTTTTTTTTAATGCAATATTGGTTTTCAATAAGCAACTAGTTTAAAATAACAGAAACAGAAATTCCCATGTGGCTAACAAAATTTCCCTTTGAGCTCCAAAGGCTCTCCTGGCACTCTCCAATTATTGTACCTTGAAATTGTTTCAGTAACTGCATTCTTTATGACAGGCATTTGAATATCAAATATTGGTCACTGCCAGAGTATTAAATTTTTAATCAGAAGTAGGAGGAAAATGACTTTAAGTTCTGATCCTGTCAGTTTCTCATTATTTGAACTTGAACCATCACCTTACTTCTCTTGGCCTTCTGGTGCATTTTGAGAATCCTTGCATGCATGAACAAATGACTCTGTGGAAAGATAATTCCCATGGCAATAAAAGCGATTACATTTTAAGCATCTAGTATATTCCAGGCGTTGTGCTATATTCTTTACATACATTATCTTAAAAGCTCAAAACAAGTCAACCAGCTGATATCATTGTCTCCATTTTATCCACAAGAAAGCTGAGGCTTAGCGAGATCAAATACATTCTTGAGAGTAACACAACGAAATGCTAGAATTGATCTACTGCTATAATCTGCTAGCATCATTTTGCATTTGGATTATTCTTTTCAATGCATTTACTCTCTGGCCCAATTTTGTGTCAAAGAGGATTTGATTCAACATTCTATGCCTTTATCTAAGTCTTCAATTTAAAGAAAATTAACAATAGTCTGCTTGTTCCTTGCTACACCCCAGGTACCTAGCACAATACCTGTTAGGTAGTAGATGTTAGACTACCTGTTAGGTAGTCATTCAAAATGACTTTTGAATGAATGAATGAGTAATATAGGGCAAAGACAAGAGTGTTGTGCCATGTCTCCACTGACATATAGTAGTATTGGCACTTTCAGTTATAAATCCATCAGACTTTGTTGTTAAGATATCTTCATTTCTCTATTTTTTATCTATAGGTGTTAAAGACAGACATTGTGAAATGATTTGGTGTAGTTGGGTACACTATATATAGTTTCCCCCCAAATCTGCCATTCTGATAATCTTATTTTGAAAAAGAAAAGCTTAAGATGTAGCTCATGTTTCATGGACATATTATTTTTCTCATCTTTTTTTTCTCTTAGAGTTCACAAATACTCAATTTTATAATTTGACCTATAAAACTATCTGGGATAGACATTAAGTGCAATATATATTTTTGCAGCACATTCCTTTTGAAGGTAAATCAAGAGAGTATTTTCTATCTTAATTCTTACAAGATTTCTGGCAGAATTTTGAGGGTACATTTGGAAAATTCTCTTAATAACAACAACAGCAATAACCATTTATTCAAAAGGTTGCTTTATAAACACTGCATAGACACCTGACCTACATTACCTAATTTAATTTCCCACAAATCTGTGAAGTAGGCCTGAATATCTGAAATCTACAAACCAGAAATCCAAGAACAAAGAGCTAAATTTTGCCCAAAGTTACTCATATGGTAAGTAGTCAGGATTCAAACCCAGGTCTCAAACTCCAAGACTGTGTTTTTAACTAGTATACATGTTGCCTTTTATAACTTTTCAAGGCCAGGAAACACATTTAAAAACTCGCTGATGTTTTCTTATGATCACTTCTATTGTTTGGTTTCAGTTTCCTTGTTTTATTTGGATTAGCCTGGGTAATGCTGCAGTGACAAATAACATCAATTTTATTTTAATGTTGGTTTTATGTATCAGAATGGGTTTACTTCGTTGCAGTGACTGGAAGATCATACTGGAAAGTCATGCAAAGACAATTAACTGTTTTAAACTCAAAACAATACATACTACTTCTAGCGATATATCATGATCAAAGCAAATTAAATGGCCAAACAAAACCTCAAGGGGTGGGGAATCATAACCCTCCACTGTATCTGGAAGGAGATAACAGGTTATCAGTGGATAGTGGTGGTATCCACAAATCCATGTGTCTGATGCCCCTTTCAGAAGTGAAAATGTTCTCTTTTTAAAAAATTTTGATTGGGATATAGTTGGTCTGTAATACCATGTTAGTTTCAGGGGTATAGCAAAGTAAATCTGTTGTACATATATGTACTCTTTTTTAGATTCTTTTCCATATAGGCCATTACAGAGGACAAAGTAGAGTTCCCTGTGCTGTATAGTAGACCCTTATTAGTTATCAGTTTTATATATAGTAGTGTGTTTATGTCAGTCCCAATTTTGCAATTTATCCCTCCCCTGGAACCTTGCCCTCCCCCCTCACCCCGCCTTGGTAACCATAAGTTTATTTTCTAGATATGTAACTCTATGTCTATTTTGTAGATAGATTCATTTGCAGCCTTTTTTGTATTCCCACATATAAGCAATATCTATGATATGTCTTTGACTTTACTTCACTCAGTATGACAATCTCAAGGTCCATCCATGTTGCTGTAAATGGCATTATTTCATCCTTTTATGGTAATAGACATTTCTCCAAAGAAGAGATACAGTTGGTTAAAAAACACATGAAAAGATGCTCACCATCACTAATTAGTAGAGAAATGCAAATCAAAACTGCAATGGTGTATCACCTCATTCCAGTCCAAATGGCCATCATCAAAACATCTTCAAACAACAAATGCTGGAGAGGGTGTGGAGAAAAGGGAACCTTCCTGTATTGTTTGTGGTAATGTGAATTGGTACAGCCACAATGGAGAACAGTATGGAGGTTCCTTAAGAAACT